ATTTTTTCTGCCAAATGTGCTTTAAAAACTTATCAATTCGAAATTCGACTGCGATTGAAAATTACGTATAGCCTTCACCTGTCTGTTTTTATTTAGTTAAGATTATAAAGACGAAGAATTCGAAACAAAATAAAAAAATTCCTTTTGCGCATGCGTCCTTGCCTTTATTTTCCTCTATTCAATTACAGATATTTGATTACTTTTGAAAAATATTTGTTCGTCTAGTTATCAGTTTTTTTTTTCTTTTTTAAAATGTTATCGAAATTAGCACATTAGTTTTTGTTCTATGAGGAACAAAAATAAAGAATTAAAATGGGAGGGCAGAAGTGTTTTTTTTACGCATTCAATCAAGCCATGTCTGTCGCTCTGATTGTAAGCCATGATTTGAAAAACTTAAAAAATTCTGTTGAATCTGTTGTCCGAACGATTGAGGAAAACAAAATAAGTTGCGTCGATAAATGTGGAGCCAAAGAAGAAAATATCGATACTTCAATCGAAAGTGATCGGACGAACTACATTCCTTGGTTACACCATGTCTAACCTTCACGGCTAGGACCTGCCATACCACTTACATAGTATCAAGCTACCCACATTCCATGCGTATCCCATCGGCGAGAAGTAAGTCCCACTCAAACTGCTGCTTCACGCAAACAACTGCTTTGTGGTACAGACTTCTATTAAGTTGTTTTCCCGATCACTACAATCAGTTCAAGTCTAGAGTCAACTGTTATTTTTTCCATCTATCCATATAAACTACTCCTTAACGTAACACTCTGCCTCGAGTGCCCCCACCCCCGGGCCTTGTACAGGGGGAACCGTACTCTAAAAAAATATATTAATAAAAAAAATTTTGACAAAAGATTAAACATTTTGCTCATTAATTCCAATAAAAAATAGAAAAAAATACCTTATCATTTTCCAATCTATCTACCAAATACATTTGCCAAAAGGAAACTTATTTAAAGTCCATTATGAGAAAGCTACTTCGCAGAACATTCGCTGCTATAGCGAGTTCGTGTCGCAGTAGAAACGTTACCAATAAGACTTAGGGTCAACTAAAATGAGATCTTTATGAGACGATGCTGAAAGGAAAAAAAAAATAACGTATTCAGAGACGTGTATTGAACGAAAAGGTTTTGATTTTTATTCATCAATATTCGTTCGATTTAAAAGTTTGTAATACACACAAAAAATATCGTTACTCAGTTTATAGATATATGCTAAACTTTGTTCAGTCTGGCACGTCCCATCACCGAAGTTAAGTAATATCGAGACTTGTCAGTAACTAGATGGGTAATCTCTTGGGAATACCAGGTGCTGTAAGCTTGGATGTGCTGGTGGTGTAATGGATAATGGCTCGGAATTGTTAAACGGAGAGCCAAGTTCCGATTTCAGTTGGGTTCATTAAATTCACTTGCACTCAAATACCCTTTGGAAAGGTATCTTCCTCTTCTACCCCCCCAGGTATAGTTTAATTAGTAAGACTTGTGTTACTAAAACCATTATTATCTCCTAAAAATCAAAATAAAATTGCGTAAAAAATATTTAGATTTCGGCATTAAATAAGCCATAGAGGTTGTTAAACCGCTAAACAAAAACAACTAACAACCAAAATGTTAACCTCTTTAAGTCAACGATCAGTCTTATTTATCCCTCTTATCATCATGATCTTCACTTCTTATCACTTTAATTAGTATCACGCACATTAATTATTATAATTATTTTAATATTAACTCTATACCCAGAGGGGCTCTCCGGTGGTATATGAGTGAACTTTAGTATATTAAAAAATTACCATTGTAATTGAGTGTGAGATAAGTTTGCTAATCACTTTTCGCAGGAGAAGCACGCAAGCACTTTATTTTTTATTTTTTTTATTAATGTGCTCAGTTTAATCTGGCACAAGGTATATGATTAAGAGCAATGGTAATCCATTTCTTTTCCCACCTCAGCTATGTGTAAATAGAAGAAGGAATGGTTTCGTTCCATCAGGCAATCTTGCCCAGGACACACCCTCTACTGTTACGGTTGCAGTACTTGTTGCCCCGATCATTCAGTGCGCAACGGGATACGTGACCTGGATGTTATTTGTGATAAACATTAAAATTTTTTGACAGATTTTCTAGCGAATGTAGAGTTTAGCGAAAAGTCCTTTAAACTTTATCTTAATTTGGCTGAAGTGGATCCAATTTGTAGATTTGGAAGATCTGAGACTCAAACATAAAATCCAGATGAATCCTCTCGTCTATTATACTGGAAAGTGAAGCAGTTCAAAGAGAAGCTTTCTGATAAACAACTTTATTTATAGAATGATTAATTTCGTTAACTTAAAAAAAAATTTAAAAGAAAAAGAATCAACAACATTTTCACCTTGAACTTATTCAGGTGGCTGAAGCAGCTGCATATTTTTCCATAGCAAGTCGTCTCTATCTACCAGAATACATGATTTGATTATAGTGGTGTAGGCCTGTGCTGAACAAATCACACTTTACGAAACGAAGGATAACGAAGAAATGGGATGCAGAGTGTTACAAAGTCTCCAAACATCTTTCCTCAAGTTCCTAGTCTGGTTGGCAACCAAGGCGAAAGAGTCTAGTCTTCTCTGCTATTTAACTCTTAGCCGAGAGGCGAAGTATGTGCGCGCAAGTGAATGCAACGAACTTAACCGAATTCGAACTCGGCTCGACGATTTCTTGTTCCGAGTAGATAATCATTACACCACTGGTACGAGCACATCCATTTCCCCCCATATATATATATATATATATATATATATATATATATATATATATATATATATATATATATATATATATATATATATATATATATATATATATATATATAAATACACACAGACACACACACACACACACACACACACACACACACACACTCATATATATATATGGCATGGATATATATATATATATATATATATATATGGCATGGATATATATATATATATATATGGCATGGATATATAAATACACACACACACACACACACACACACACACACACACATATATATATATATATATATCCATGCCATATATATATATATATATATATATATATATATATATATATATATATATATATATAGAACGATAAAAAAATATTAAAAATTAAAATCTTCAGACACACTGGGTTGTAGATTAATATTCTTTCGTTTTTTTTATTATTATTTCATTTAGATTCCTCGACTAGTTTCAGCCAAAATAATATCATCGGGAGAAAAATATATATATATATATATATATATATATATATATATATATATATATATATATATTAAGAGCGTTCACCCCAAGCAAGCCAGTAAAAACCACTAAGACACAGGGGTTACTGGGTGTAGAAGAGTTAGAAAAACAAACATTGCTAATGAGCAAGAACAAAAAAAAAAAAATGATTAATCAAGAGGACAGTAAATAGTGATTGACATTGCATTTAAATTTTTGCGGATCAAATTTGACTGGAAAGCAAGGAACCGGGGGTGGGGGGGAGTTCCGCAAGCGAGAACAGGGACTGTTAGCATAGAACTTACGGTTATATCTAGCCAACTAAACTGCAAATTGATGCAACCTCGACGGTAGTCTAGCACTGCGCTTAATTTCAGAAGGTCTAATTACCATAGTGAAGAGCGGATCTGAACAATTACCATGAAAGTGTTTATAGAAAGGGCAAAGGGGAGACAACTTTACGCCGGTGGGAAAGTGACTGAATCCGAGATGCCAGATAAGGACCAATAATATCACTGATTCTTCTTTGGATTTTATCAAGGATCTCTATATATCTAGCAGAAGGACCAGGCCATATGTGACAGCAATATTCTAAGCATGGACGAATAGTAAACTTATAGATATGTAAGATAAATTCTCAAGAGAAAAATTGTCTAGCACGACACAGTGAACTAACTTTCTTAGCAGCTGACCTATCAATGGGTTCCATATAGTCTTTTCATTTCATGTCAGCCGAGATATATATATATATATATATATATATATATATGTGTGTGTGTGTGTGTTACTAAAGACAAAAGGAAAGCTTTTCTTAGCCGAAGCGTGTCGTCCTCTGAGGAACAAAGCAAAAGTCTTTATTCAAATTGTCCTTTTGCAGATAAGCTCTATTTCAAATTTTTACACACACATATTTACAGGTTGCGATGGGTAAATTGTCGTGATTTTATATTTTTAATTTCGTGTATGTGCGTCGTTTGTTTTTGATTTTGTCGACTACACAGTATAGTAGGCCCAGTTGGGCAATGTCTGTGAGAAAAAAGAGCAACATGACACAATTCATTCTGCCAGAAGTTCGGAAACGAACTGCTGTACTGTTTGGCATTCGCACCGGAAGCCCCAATACGAACATTTCAGAGTGTTTGGGTGTCAATCTGAGGACAGTGCAGAGGATACAGAAAGAGTTGAATTAGTCTAATGGTGATTACGATGGTGTTTGGAGTAATCACTAGTGATGGCGACCATGCCCTACAAGCAGGGGAACCCGGTCATGGCTGTCAGACAAATTCTCCGATCACATAACCCCTTATATCTGGCCATCTAAATCCACAGACTGCAAGCCCCTTGATTATTATGTGTGGGGTGCAGTTAAGTGAGAGATCAATGAAACCCCTTGTAACACCAAAGATAAACAGAAGGCAAGAAGAGTTACAGGAGATTCCGAAGTCGTTTGGAGTTTTTGGTTGAAATCAATGGCGATTTTATTGAAAAAACTACTCTTTAATATTCCAAGATATTTTTGTATAATTTTGGTAAATATATCCGTCAAAATGAGATTTCACTCTTTTCATTTTTGTGTAATTTAGACAACAATTTATCCATCGCACCCTATATATATATATATATATATATATATATATATATATATATATATATATATATATATTGAGTGCTTTCCAATAAGTTACCATGCATGTATAATATATAAATAATATATATATATATAAATCACACACACACACATATATACATATTATACATGTGCATACTATCTATCTATCTATCTATCTATCTATCTATCTATCTATCTATCTATCTATCTATCTATCTATCTATCTATCTCTATATATATATACATATATACATATATATACACTCACATACGTATATATATTTAAACACACACACGGATATATATATATATATATATATATATATATATATATATATATGCCTCTAGTCATGTTAATAAATACTGCGAAAAGTGGGTGATATAGGTGGTTATTTTGTCTACAATCAGTCATCGTTAAAAGCCAAATCTGTGTTGCTTGTTTCCAGCCGAGACATGATTTCCTTACTTGGAAGATTGGCTTCTACGTTATTCCGAATCTAATTTATCCAAATTGCACTTGTGGCAAAGCTAAAATAATTTTAACGATTCCCACTTTTCTCCGCATTTGCTTTAGACATTTTTCCGTGATAGACTGCGCATTTCACAATGCCAAAAATTCCCATGACGAACTATACGAAGATTTTAGCATTGAGCATTTCAAGAACCAATTCCATTGATTAATGAGAGTGACTTAAATATAAACAACCTAAAAAGATAGAAATAAAGAAAGAAAGAAAGAAAGAAAGAAAGAAAGAAAGAAAGAAAGAAATGAAAGAAAAAAAACAAAACAAATTGGTAGAAGTATTTGATAATTTCTCACCGGTGCAGAATTAGTTCTTCGAATCCAAATAAAAGTCAGAATTAGGAATGCTGAATTTCAATCCAGGCATACCCAACCATTTAAAAAAATTGCCTTAATATAATATTTCCTTTTCATCTATCTATCTATCTATCTATCTATCTATCTATCTATCTATCTGCCTAGTTATATCTTCTCACTCTATTCATTATCTCTCTCTATTTAATTTGTTAATATCTATCTCGATTTCTATCTATCTATCTATCTATCTATCTATCTATCTATCTATCTATCATCTATCTATCTATCTATCTTTTATCTATCTATCTATCTGAGTTTCTGTCTATCAACCTAGTGATATCTATCTCAGTCTGTTCATTATCTATCTATCTATCTATCTATCATCTATCTATCTATTCATTCATTTCATCTATCTATCTATCTATAATACATTTCGCCGAAGACTGTACCACTGTATTTCATATCTATCTATCTATCTATCTATCTATCTATCTATCTATCTATCTATCTATCTCTGAGAGAGTTTGTGCAAGACTGTACTCTTCATATCTATCTATCTATCTATCTATCTATCTATCTATCTATCTATCTATCTATCTATCTATGGGTCTGTGATATGATATGATGTACTTGCTGACATCCGAATCCAGTTATGCTTTCTTGGGCTCCGATACGCAGTGGATAATCCATCAAATGTAGACATTCGCTTCACCGCGTTCCTTGTCGTCGAATTTTCTCCGTCTCAAACCTTCTTGAAAGGCTCGGTTATTTCAGCTTCATTATTAATAAGGACGAGATGAAAGCAAAAGGCGAGTAAGCATGCGCAGTAATAAGCAAATATAGAAAACTTTCAAAAGAGAACGTTTCTGAAAAAGAGACAAAATTGTTCATTTTATTATAAGCACCGGATGTCATTAGGCAAAAGAACCTTGATTGTGTCTTGGGTGTGGTGGAAAGAAAGAAGAAAGAAATGACGGAAAGAAGAAAGGAAGGAAAAGTAAAAAGAAGTGCCGAGAAGAAGAAAAAGAAGAGGAGGATGAAAGAAAAATGGACAAAGGCTACGTGACAGAAGAGAAAAAAAAACAAAACAAAAGAAATCAAAAGAATGACAAACGCTTCTATGAAGCTGGGAGAAAAGAAAGAAAGAAAGAAAGAAAGAAAGAAAGAAACGACAAAAGAAACGTAGAAAGAAAGAAAGAAAGAAAGAAATATGAAATAACGAGAAAGAGAGAAAGAAATGACATAAGAGAAAGAAATTAACAAAGGGTAGAAAGAACGAAAATGGCTATAAAGGCAACGTGTGTGTGTGTGTGTGTGTGTGTGTGAGAGAGAGAGAGAGAGAGAGAGAGAGAGAGAGAGAGAGAGAGAGAACACACGGAAATAAAAAATAGGATGATCAGAATTAGAGAAATCAAACGCGTTCGATTAAAAAAACATCAGAATCTCGTTGACAAAGAAAGAAATAAAGACCTATTTCTAAGATCGCTATCAACATGTACAAGTCTACGTTTTCGAAGGAGGACACTCAGCGTTCAAGTAAGCAATTTTTTCTGAATATAAAATTACCACCCATGATCTTCTGAGCAGATATCCATGCAATGTACATTCAAACACACATACGCGACGCGCGCGCGCACACACACACACGCACGCACGCACGCACGCATATCTATCTATCTATCTATCTATCTATCTATCTATCTATCTATCTATCTATCTATCTATCTGTCTGTCTATCTATCTATCTATCTATCTATCTCTCTCTCTATATATATATATATATATATATATATATATATATAAATATATATATATATTCAAATATATATATATATATATATATATATATATATATATAGATATAAATTCATATATATATATATATATATATATATATATATATATAAATTCAAATATATATATATTTAATCCTGCCAGATATGACGATAAACTACAGCCGGTAACAAGGCCCTTTTAGGCGCGTGGGACCACCACTTAATTGCTGTTGCTCCCATGTCCCCCCCCCCGATCCGGAATGGTAGCATTTGTTGGGTTCCCAGCTATGGGTATATAGTGAACCTAAGAAAATAATATAAAATAAAACAATATGAAATTATAAAAATGCATTTTATTGTAAAAATAACAGCAATACATTTATATATAAATATATAAGAAATAGCTACAATACATATTTATAGTGAAATTACAATTTTAAGCAAAATGACCAGCAATACAATTTTAACGTAGAATAACCAACAATATATTTATGGCAAAATGGGCAACAATACATTTTATCTGGAGTTGAAGGCATACAATTGCGTTAAATTATTTATTTATTTATTTTTAAGCTTTTCACCCCAAGCAAGGCGAGAAGCAACCAGGACGCAAGGGGTTACAGAAGATTTGGAACAAGATCAGATAGGAGTGATAGAAGAAAGGATGAGGAGAAGGATAGTGGATAGATCAAGGCAACTGGGGATGTTGATTAACATTACATTTGAATAGTTGGAGATTATAGCTCTCAGGGAAACTGAAATAGGGAAGGGAGTTCCACAGGCGAGAGGTGCGAGACATGAAGCTATTGGAGTAGAAGAGATGGCTACATTTAGGAGTTTCGACAGTGAAGGGGTGAGAGCGGGATGCCAGCCTCGTAGGGCGCTTGAACTCATGAAGTCTGGGAACCAGCGCATGCAGCTCCTCGGAGCAATTGCCATGAAAGTATTTGTAAAACAGACAGAGAGAGGCGACGGTGCGCCTGTGAGTAAGTGACTGTAGACGAGATTCCAGATCAGGGCCAAGTATATTGCATATCCGCCTCTGGAGCCTATCAAGAACCCCGAGGCAAACAGAAGGGGCTCCACACCATATATGGCAGCAATACTCCATGCAAAGGCGAATTGTTGATTTGTAGATCTTAAAGATCGATTCCAGGGACAAAAATTTCCTGGCGCAGCACAGGGAGTCAACTTTCCTTGCGGTGGACGAAGCCATTGTTCCATCTCAGGTCAGCAGTCAACGTGAGACCGAACAGCCGCAGAGAGGTGCTCTCGAGAAGTTGAGCGTCAGACATTCTAATGGAGGGCAGGGAAGGATCTCTGTGGTGATTAATAGAGAGCAGTTTTGTTTTTGAGGCATTAAAGTTGACCAGCCAATTCCTGCCCCAGTTCACAACCGATTGGAGGTCCTTATTTGAAGCTATAAAATTGTGTTCAAAATATATATGTTTCGGCATGAAATAACCCATAGACAGCGAAACGAGAATAACCTATACGCAGAGATTAAATAAAGGGTTCAGTTCGAAATTCCTTGAAGGTTAGACGGATCGGCAAGCACCTGAAGAAGGCCGGAAGGCACAAAGGCCGAAACGTTGCGATAATAATAACAAAAATGATGACAATAGCTCTCATGTAAATAATGATAACTCGTCATCCCAGAAATAGTTTTTCTTTATATTATAATGTGTTATCAATTACCTGAACACACACACACACACACACACACACACACACACACACACACACACACACACACACACACACACACACACACACACACACATTTTTATATATAAGTATGTATATATATCAAGCATGTTTGGTTGAATAATTCCTTAGCCATGAATCGAAATCAACAATTGATTCGTAAAATTTATTTTCCGAAATAAAACTTCCTTTTTTTTTTACCTTTTGACTTATTTCCATTAGTTGATATCAAACAAAAGTGCCATGCTCACATTCATATCTCACACACACACACACACACACACATACATTATTTATATATATATATATATATATATATATATATATATATATATATACAAATGTGTGTGTGAAGCCTTCTGAAAAGTTCTTAGCCCCATAATTCAAGAACGAAATAAATTCTAATGTTTTGTCATTTGATCATAATTTCGAAAGAAAGAAACACATTCTCGTATATATATATATATATATATATATATATATATATATATATATAGATAGATAGATAGATAGATAGATAGATAGATATAGTGTGGATATGAACTAAATAATTAGATATTAGCTAATGCGCGCCTATACAGATAAGCGAATATTTACTTAATTTAAGGGGTAAACAAAACAGTGTAATTACACTGAGCTAGGAAGTATATATTAATATATATATATACATATACGTACGTCAGGCATGAACTAGTGAATGAAACACTTAAGTGATTCATTCACCAGTTCGTACCAGACGACTTGGGAAAACATGAAACTTTGTTGCATTACAAAACATAAGTATATGTATATTTATTAATATATAATATATATATATATATATATATATATATATATATATATATATATATTTTGAGAGAGAGAGAGAGAGACGGAGAAAGAGAGGCAGACAGACAGATATGCAGATCTCCGTTATTAAAAACACTGAAAAATCCAGGCCGGTAGACGTCAATTACACAGTTTAAAAGAAACGGAGATATTTACTCAAGCACGATTATCCACTAAACAAAACATTTAAGGCAATAATAAATAATGTCGGATTATAAATAAAAGAATTTACTCTGTTTATGTTTGGATGTAGATATGAGTATGAAGATCATTTCTTGAAATATATATATATATATATATATATATATATATATATATATATATATATATATATATATATATAACTATATCCCCTCACGATCCACTTAGGTGAAACCTGGGTAGGTTTGTCTGGCTCACTAGGTTTATATATATATATACACACACACACACACACACATATATATATATATATATATATATATATATATATATATATATATATATATATATATATATATATATATATTTTCAGTATGTATATGCATAACGGCACGTAAAATCATGGACAATATGGACAATGTTTGCACTTTCTTACTCCCACCAAACAGAAAAAATGTAAGAATGTTAGAAAAATTAAATCAAAAAATCTGTCAAAGTTTCCTTGTTATATTCAGCGAATACATGCTTAAAAGAAAAGTTGCAACCCCAAAATAAAAGAAATGAAAAAACAAAAAAAAACAAAAAAAAAAAAAAAAAACGGCATCTTCTTTAATGAGTTTAATAACAACATTAAGAAATTGATCCGTGAATTTGAGACTATTAAAATAAAAGCGGTCATCTACTCAACAGTAGATGGCTCTGTCATAGTGAACGCAGATATCAAACAGTACACAAACTCATTCAGTTGCGTCTCACAGGCGACCGAGTGAGTTATGTGTGTGTTTTTATTCCATCATGTGTAGTAAGTTCTCCTCTGCCTGATAAATTACATAAAATCCACACAACCGGTTCTAGTGTTATTCAAAATGTTATTCCTCACAGACGTTATAGATGAAAAAAAAAAAAGAAAGAAGAGATAACCCACTCACTTCAATTCCAAAGTTAATCAATCTTGACACAAAGTATCTATACAAAAATTCTCGAACACTCGTAATTTGAAAGGAATCTGATTGGTCAGTCATTGTTTTGTCATATACCAAGAAGAAACTGACACCCCTTTCTTGAGACACACTTTCTTTACCCTTCTCTTGGAATAAGGTTACAGACCATTTCCGTCGACGTGATTACAATGGATCAGTTTACGATACCTATAAAATACGAAAATAGTGTATAATGCCAATCTGGTTAATCTGAGGGAACAAAGCATTTAAGATTATCGTTATACTCATTTGGGAATCGGTAACATCCGCTAAGTGAGTTAACTCCCCTGAACAAAAAAGTGGAATGACACCTATCTACTCCCGTGGTCTGTATAAAAGAATCGGCTCAAAATGGAGTTAGTGTTACCGAGTACGATGACAGACCTCTGAAGAAGTCCGGATGTTACAACGGTCGAAACCTTGTCAGCATAACCACGAAGATGAGCATGCTGGTCTGAATAATAAGGCGTATAATAATGGTTATCCTTCATCTAAAAAATTCCGACAAAAATTTTAATTATCGAGAAGTTTTTTTTCCTGTAACGATTGGTTTACGATCAGATCTACTATTTTAAAAATCATTGATATTTTTTCCCGATCACTCGAGAACTATAGGTTGAGTATCCTTTATCCGAAATTCTCAAATCCGAAAACCTCCAAAATCCGAACGTTTTTCAGGTGCTGACTTGACTTACCACAATTGGAGAATTTCAGAAAGCTCTGAAAAGATTCATATGTGATGTGCAAGTGACGTTATCTGCCCTGGATGGAGTTCCCCAGTCCAGCTACGTAGCCTCCGCTGATGCCAGTTTTCTGTTAGCGATCGTCACAGCAACACCTTCATTCGTGTATTATTTTACCAGGTGTTTCGTGCTCAGTAAAGATATTATTCAAAATGTCAAAAACTCTTGCATTTATATATTTTTTTGTAAGTAGTGATCATGTTTTTCTACACATACAGAAAGTACGAAACATTATTTGTACGTGAAATCTTAATTTCACCACTTAAAAATCCGTGTGAGGATTACATGATTAACGTCATTACCTCTTTCTGTATGTACATAAGATTTATTAATTTTATGTAAAACTAATTTCAGGGTATATGTTATTTATAACAAACTACCTTCAAGGTATATGTATAAGCTGTGTTATGAAATATAAAGCGATATCGTGTTTATGCTTGGGTTCCATTCCCAAGCTGTCCCATTTTATGAATGCTATATGCAAATTAAATAGCCTATATTCCAAAATCTGAAAAATAAATAAATAAAAATGAAAACGGAAGTACTTCCGGTTCTAAGAATTTCGGATAAAGGATTTTCTACCTGTAGTAGTATTATTAACATTAGTAATAATAAAGTGTTATTAGACTATATATCATTAACCAATAATTTTGCGTTGAAAAATTATTTATTCCCTTCTGTACGTGGATATCGTAGATCTTAACAGTTTCCTGTCCTTTGTAGCCCTATGCATCGTTAATCTCGTTGATATCGCTTCTAGTCCCGTCTTTATCATCCACTTACACAAACTCGTTATGCAGGCAACATATTGTTTCTGTCTGCTCCACCAGTAACATGTGAGTATTAAAATCAGAAAGTCCTCTTTCCTCATTATGTGTCCCAGATATTTCAACTGTCTCTTTCTGATGCTAACTATAATTTTCCTTTTTTATTTTAATTTTTCCTTAAAACTTTCTGCCGCATCACAATGAAACACCAAAAAATAAGTAAAGCTTAGTCTCTTTTATAAGAAGTTGATAAGCCATAGAAAACAATAAATTAAAACTTCCATGTTCCGTCCATATGATTCTCAGTATTCGTTAGCCAAAGTACATATCTGTCGCCTCAAGTCTCCTTTTCAGATTTATTTTATGAGGAAACAGTCCGACATTGAGATGAATGAATTACTAGTTTTAAAAAAAATCAGTATTAGTTAAGAAGCAGAATTTATATTTCCAACAGATTTATTTTCTATCTTGTCAAGACGACAGTTGCAAAAATTCTGCTTTATATCAATCAGTATCTGAGTCGGTCTTCAGACTCTGGTGCTAAATCTTCTCTTTTCCTGTGGGCTAAGCTGGGTGAGAGGCTTGATTAGGGAAGGAGGGCTTTACCCAAGGTGGTTCCGCGTTCTGGTATCTATCAAACAGGACCACAGGTTCCAAAAGCCCGTGGCAACACTCGTAGATAATTAAATAACCCATTTTTCCCTTTCGCTTGCATAATATTTACAGTTCATGTACTGTGTACAAAGGTCGTGTGTACCAGTTGACACTAAGTAATCTGATTAAGCTCAGAATAAAATATATAAAATATTCTTTCTTTTTATTTTCTCTTTATTTATTATCATCTGTTGCATTTATTTTGGTCATTTCCGTCTTTCTTGGTTGCTTTGTTCTTATTTTCGCTTTCTTTTTTTCTTTCTTTTTTTTTTTTTTTTTCGTATTCATTCGTTTCACCGGTTTTTTTTTCTTTTCTTTTGAAATCCTCATTTCTTTTATTTCTTTTCTTTTGGACTCCTCATCTCTTTTTTCTTTTCTTTTGGAGTCTTCCTCTCATTTTTTTCTTGTCATTTGTTTGCTCTTATTTACATTATTTCTTATTTGCTTTTTTCTTTTGTTTTTATAATCTTTGTTTCTTTTAACTTTATCTTTTATCTTCTTTCGTTCTCCTTTCTTTCTTTCTTTCTTTCTTTCTTTCTTTCTTTCTTTCTTTTTTTTTCTTTCTTTCTTTCTTTCTTATGTTAAATTTATTATACTTTGTATTTCACCCCGATTTTCTTTCATTTAACGTCGGTATTTTCATATATTTTTCATTCATTCTTTTAACGAATTAATTTTTCGATGTTTTTTTTTCCTTTTTTCATCATTCTTTCTTTTTTCTTTTCTTCTTATTATGTTAACGTTGTTATTTTTTGTATTTATCGCCATCTTTCTTTCTTTTAATGTCATTATATTCAGTGATTTTTCTTTCTTTCTTATTTTACAGTTGATACTTTTAAAAATATTTCTCTTCATCTTTCTTTCTATCGGTTGACGTTATTTTCGGATATATTTTTCTTTCTTTCTTTCTTTCTTTCTTTCTTTCTTTCTTTCTTTCTTTCTTTCTTAATATTCTTCCTTCTTTTTATTTCCGACGCAGTTTTTTTATTTTATATCTTTAACTTCTTTCTTTTAACGTCCTTATTTTCACGTTTTTCATTAATTCAGTTTTACTTTCCTTTAATGAAGTAATTTATTGGTTTTCTTTCTTTCTTTCTTTCTTTCTTTCTTTTCTTTTCTTTTCTTTATTTCTTTCTTTCTTTCTTTTTTTCTTTCTTATCTCAACGTTGCTATTTTTGTACATCTTTCCCTCTTCCTTTCTTTATTATTTTAAATTTTATTCGTCTTTCTATCGGTTAAAATCATTTTCGAATATTTTTCTTTCTTTCTTCTTTTTCCTTCTTTTATTTGCAACCCAGTTTTTCTTTTATATCTTCTTTCTTTTCCTTTATATCTACTTTTCATTCTTATCCTTTTATTCCCTTCTTTATTTCTTTTTAATTCTAAAATTTTAGTATTTTGTTCTTTATTCGCTTTTCTATTATTTTTTTTATTCTTTTTCTTTTCTTTGTTCTCATTTTTTGATATATACCACTCCGCCAAAACCACTTCCTCCACCCTTCCAAAGCAATTTCATGTTTCTTCATTTAATTCAAGTCAAAACCTCCAAAACATATGGTCGCTCCCTGCTTAACCCGATAAAATTCTCTGTCCGTTATCCCCTGCTACGTTCTAATAATTATTTAATCGCCGCCCGCCATTGCAGTTAGCGTTTACAGTTCTTGCCCTAGAGTTTTTCTAAGCTTACACTGCACGATGGAAGAAAAACCATTTTGTCTTTTAAGAACCTTGGTTTCTATGCGCGTCCGCATTGGGAAACATCCTTATCAAACTGGCTTATCTGTATTTTTACAGCTTCAAAGGATAAGTTAAACAAATTCGCCAATGAAGTGCGCTTTCGATTTTTTCTTCCCCACTCCAGGAAAAATATTACTTAAATCCTTTGAAAATTTAAATCAATCAATCAAGCAAATAATCTATCTATCTATCTATCTATCTATCTATCTATCTATCTATCTATCTATCTAGTTATATCTTCTCACTCTATTCATTATCTCTCTCTCTCTCTCTATTTAATTTCTTAATATCTATCTATCTATCTATCTATCTATCTATCTATCTATCTATCTATCTATCTATCTATCTATCTATCTGCCTAATTATATCTTCTAACTATGCATTATCTAATTTGTTCATATCTATCTATCTATCTATCTATCTATCTATCTATCTATCTATCTATCTATCTCTAAGAGAGTTTGTGCAAGACTGTACTCTTCATATCTATCTATCTATCTATCTATCTATCTATCTATCTATCTATCTATCTATCTATCTATCTATCTGCGTAGTTATATCTTCTCACTCTATTCATTATCTCTCTTTCTCTATTTAATTTGTTAATATCTATCTCGATTTCTATCTATCTATCTATCTATCTATCTATCTATCTATCTATCTATCTATCTATCTATCTATCTATAATACGTTTCGCCCAAGACTGTACCACTGTACAGTTCATATCTATCTATCTATCTATCTATCTATCTATCTATCTATCTATCTATCTATCTATCTATCTGTACAAGTAACTGACTTGCTTTATAAAATTCCGATTAAATCAACAATAAAAAACCGTAACCGGACTGAAACTGCCCAACCCTTACTTTCCTGCCTTGATAGAATTCTAAATCGTTTATGCGATCTTGTGTTTGAAGACTTATTCTCGATTGTATAGACCCTTTCCCACGCATTCAGCGTGACAAAGCCTATGGCTATTCTTTCGCTGTTTCCATGGCAAATGTTCACATGAGTTGCATTCATGTAGTTTCACCAGTTCAGATCTTTACAACTAAAACGCGACATGCTATTTCGAAGGGGTCGAAACATCTTGATTTCCACCGTATTTCAAATGTTAGAAAAAATTCCTCTTGTACAGTTTTTTTTGAACATTACAATCTTAACCTCTTCAAATCAAAAGTCAATCATTATCTATCCTCTTTATCTTTTTAATCTTCACCTATCACCTCTTTCATTCATATCACACACTTCCTACATCATAACCACTTTAACAGTAACTCTATACTGTTTTAAACTAGGGCAAGTGTGTGTTGAGGTTGGGGAAAATACCTCAACGATAGCTCTCCCAGCCGTTACAGGGGTAATAAGCACAGAAAGAAAATGAGAAGAGAGGTAACAAAATGATCCTGCCTTAGAAGGCACTTTAGTAACAAAAGGCTCACGGGGACAGATTTCACAAAACACTGAGACTTGCCCACTGCTAACTGCACGTTTTCCCGTCGCTTTTATTGACAGTAGACGCTGGCAGAAGGCCGAATCGAAAGTTGCAGAGAGGCCTGTATCTGAACATGCCAAGCTGTTCCGCTGCTAACTGGGAAAACCCGGATCTAACTGGTTTTGACAGACATGTTCGCATGCGATTCGTCTGTACTGACGCACATTTGCCACATATACCTTATAAGACTCTGGCACCTCGAAGTGGTGTAATGGTGTTGTGGTAGGATCTACCTAATTTGCATAGTGGAGTACCGACCATATAAATATGGTTGGTACCGGGAAGACGGGAGAGGAATCAAGAGATTCAATCCAGAGACTCTGCCCGACTGCGACTAAGTCAACACATTCTCCAGGAACGGTCTTCCCAGGAATATACAAAAGACTATATGTAAATATTGTGTACACTTTCTTGTTTCAATACATTTTGTTCTAAGTACATTTTGTGTTGCATTATTATTCCATGCATTAGTCAAGTTTCAACAAATGGTTAGCAAGCTTGTCTCGCTAATAACAATTACATTACTGGGTGCCCCTTACATTCGGCCTTGTGCCACATCCAAGCTACGCTTGGAAAATCACTATGCACCTCGGGGCGGTGTAATGGTTAGCAAGCTTATCTCGCTAGAACAATTACAACTGAGTCGTGAGTTCGATCCTCACTAGGTGCCCCATACTTTCGGCCTTGTGCCACATCTAAGCTATGCTTGGAAAGTCACTATACCTTATAAGACTCTCAAGCTTGATATTGAGTGAACTTTAGTATAAAACATGTAAAAGAATTTGAAATACTTCCTTTTGTTCCAACAAACAACCCCAGAGTATTAGTCGATCACGCATTCAATAACTTGCATGAACAAACACTCAAAAACTAAAACATATTAAGCAAAAAGATCGGTTTCTCCAGGTACTTATAGGAAGATTAGGGGATTGTGTTGTGTCAATCTTCTCAGATCAGAAAGATATTTCTGCTTTGAAAATAACCACAAAACTCATTTCGGCTTAGATTTATGTTCGAAAAGCGACACCATTTGCAAGGACGAGAAGACATTTCATTTTCAGCTAGCTGCAACTAACTCTGTTTTATTTACGAAGCATAACTTAGTCTGTTGCAGGGTCACAGTCGTGGGCTGTTAATATATAACCTACGCACTTTACAGCGACGGTCTTTTATTATTGCTCTGTGAGAGACGCCTTGAGAAATATACTAGACTCAAGTTAGTCTGACACAAGGGCGAGCGCAGATCATATTCAAGGAAACGGCCTACGAATCTAACTTGTTAAACTTCGTCTTCCATTCATGTATTCATAATAAAGGAATTGCGGTCAATTATTACAAACTAAGAACAGACAGAAATCGTTCTATGACTCATTATTGAGTTCGTCTGATGAATCATTTCCTCATCATTACGTTTCCAGTTAGGAAATTAACGGGTTTTCGCTAACAGTTGGTGTTTCCTTCCGAACACACATACATACATATATATATATATATATATATATATATATATATATATATATATATATATTCTCATTTTACAAGAGGTCGCCTCGTTCAAAAAAGAACAAGAAACACAGACAAAGAAATAACAGTATTTCTAGCAACTGAAAGAGACTAAGATCCCTATAATTATATTTTAAATGCTTGAAGACATACGTGATCACGACACTCCACAGCTTCTTTTTTATCTTAGAATTGCCATCACTTCTTTGAAAAGATAGATGATTTTCCTTCTCTGTGGTTTTGTATTCAGAGTAGTCTTTCTCTTAGACTGGCTGCCATCAAAGGCTTAGAGAGTCCAGCCCACTCTTCAGGATCTAGCATTCATGACTCTCCACAACTTCTTTTTCTGTATTATTTATGAATTACTACGAATTCTTGGCAAGTATAACGCATTGGCTTCCTGTTGATTTCTTCACGATTTTGAATTCCGTAGTCTTTTCAGGACTGGTTGACATCCAAGGCTACATAGCCTGGTCTCCCTTGTTATTTGACTTCTAGATGAAGGAAGAAGTGATGGATTCACGCAAGTGAAGGAAATTGCTGGTTGTTCGCTCCCAAGTATGTTTGTATGCTTTGTGTGGTTAGCTAATCCCTGTTGCAGACACCTACACAGACACATTATTTTATTTCTTCAACATCTTCAAAATCAATCTGTGATTTATGCAGCATCTAAGTTAAGCTGACCTTGAAGTTTCTGGGAGAGAGTACATCATCTGGCATTGATCACCAGTTTGAACAAGATCAGTAATCTCAAAAACTCGGCCAGAATGACTTCGTTCGAGCACAACAGTTTTCGACTAGTTTTCTCTACCCAATCCTACGTAAAAGGCCTGGGTCAACTCATAGTATGGCGTTCAGGGACCATACGCTGGCATTGTATCTCCCAACCCAGGCCAGATGTATTAAGAAATCACCTGCATGACAAATCGACCATGGTGAGCTTCGAACACGGCTCTAATGAAATGATCCGAATACAAGCATTTAAACCACTCGGCTAGACTGCTGGCACACCGGCTATTAGAATACAATCAACAGCGTTCTTTTTAAATATCAATTAAATTTGATCAAACTAAATACTCCTAATATCTAAGAACAAAAACAGAACAAAAGTCTTGGTCATGCAATATATCTCTTCACCGTTTCGATCAGGATTTTTTGTTCTTTGGATACTATCGATTTTTCATTTTTCTAAAATTTCGGAGCGCATTTTTATGTTTTTTTTCCATTCTATTTTAATGAGAACTTTGTCGTAGATGACTTTATTTGGCTATACAACTTGAAATTAAAGAGGTACAAAATTTAATTAACGCTATAAAAACAGGCATATTTATTAAACTGAGAGGAAATAATCAGGAAGATAAAAATTACAGTCATCATGAATGTTGATTCAACGTATATTAAGAAATTAGGGAACAATTAGAAAAAGAAAACTGACCGCTTCTCGATCTTTTGTCAATCGAAGAAAATGAACTAGCCGTGAACCACGACTAAAAACATGAGAAGATATGAAGATATGATATACACATAATAATATAATATTATGTATATTTATATGACACACATATATTATTTATATTATACAAAGTTAGTTCTTTGTCGTGATACACAATTTTTCTTGCCTGAATCTATCTTAACATATTTAAAAGCCTACCATTCGTCCATACTTAGAATATTGCTGCCACATATGGTCAGGTGCTTCTGATATTTATTTAGAGATCTTTGATAAAATCCAAAGAAGAATCTGCAATGTCATTGATGCCGACCTAGTATTTTGGCTTCTCTCATTTTCCCACCCATTTTACTATAATGTAGCTTTCCTGTGTTTTTTCTATAAATACTTTCATTGCAATAGTTCTGATTAATTTTCCTATATGCTAACTAGAATTTAAGCGCAGTACTAGATTGACAGCAAGGTCTCACTATTTTACAGTTGAAATGATTACACGTAATATGTTCTATGCTAACAGTTTCTTCTATCGCACTTCTCCCTTGTGGAACTCGCTTCCGGCTTCTTGCTTTGTAGTTAAGTATGTTTTTCAAAAATTTAAATGTAATGTCAATCGTTATCTACCGTCTTCTTAATTCCTGTTCTTTTATTTTTTTCGTTCCTTAAAAAAGTTTTTCTTATATTCTTTCACGCTTAGTACACCCCACCTCTGCGTGTTAGTTGTTTTATTACCATGCTTGGAGTGAAACCAAAATTTGTATTTCATATATATATTATATTATTTATATTATATTATTTATAATATATACTAATATGTATAGTTATATAACAATCTGATCACATCGTGACTCAACAATCTTTTTGTTTACCTAAATAAATTTGCTTAGGTTTCAGAAAAGTCTGAATGAGTTTCAGACAAAAATCGGAATGTGATGGGCACAGCACACAAAACAGACCTTTGCGAGGGCCGAAGAGTATTTCTGAATATTAATAGATATTCAGAGTTGCAGACACAAATATACCAGAACTCTTAAGTGAATTTTGATGTTGCGATTCTTTGAATTCATCCTGTCAAATGCTGAGAGATTCTTCACTCCGATAATTCGGTGGTCCTAATTATGCAGTAGAACAATGATACTTATATTTGACATTCCACTTATTTTTTTTTACCCTCCGGTGCACAGGTATGTATCCATGTTTGTGCTGGGTCATTTGGGAGTTATCTGAAAGAAAGATTATTCTTTGAAATAATTTATCTGGAAGTTAAACCCAGGATCTTTTTAAGAGATAAGCTCTTCTAACGCTTGGTCCATACGCCTTCCCCTTCTCTTGAACAGGAGTTGATG